TATTTTTATTCATCGCAACAGAGCTGAAGCAATTTTATCACAGGTTATGGGATGATAGGGATGCAAATGAAATGTGAGGTGGAGTTTAAATTATTGCGCGCGGGCGGGAGAATAATATCATCAGCCAATGAAGTCACTGTATTCTGGATATTATTGGACAAAAACAAAGTTGAAGCCGAGGAATATTCGAGTGGCGAACCATTCTGACGACCATTGTACCGGTCTTTCCTTGTGGACAAGGTGATCCCCGCAATCCGATTACGGTGGCCATCCTCGAAGCGCTCCCGGATCTGGATACAGCAAGACAACGCACGACCCCATGTCAGTGTTGACGACCCTGCCGTTATTGCCGCTGGAAGCCAAGATGGATAGATTATTGCACTGTGTGCCCAGCCAGCACAGAGTCCTGATCTGAACGTGCTCGACTTGGGCTATTTCAATGCCATCCAGAGTCTGCAACACGAAATGGCAACGCACACATTGGAGGATCTCGTTGCGGCTGTCCTGAAATCGTTTGACGAGCTGCAAGCATCCTTGCTTGACAAGACGTTTATGACGTTACAAAAGGTGATGGAGTGCATTTTTAAGATTGGTGGTGACAACAGCTTTAAGCTACCGCACCAGAAGAAGAATGCATTGCTCAAAAAGGGTCCTTTGCCGCCTCAGTTGGAGTGCGATGACGAAGTTAGCGCGGCGTTGGATGCAATGGGGGAAAGAATTGACTTTGAACGTCGTGTTGACATTCTCAGTGACCTCTTCGACAATGGTTGTCAGTTTCAAGACAAAGCCGACTTGTCGGATTCCATTTGCTCTCAATTAGTTGGCGTCGAGTTAGTTTCAGATGAGTAATAAATGTATGATATCATGCTGTCTCTGGTCGTAAAACAGCAATTTTGAATAAAAATACAGGTCGACGAACCTTTCTTATTTAATTGCTTTACATACTTTCATATAAAATTCACATTTATATAAAGGTGGACTTCATTGTGGAACAGAGGAAGTACTATTTATCTCATCGAAAAAATGTTGTTTATTTACGTCAATTCTCGTGTACCTCCAATCGATTCAACTTGCAACAACCTGTTCAGTTTTACTTCGAAGTATTCGATTCGGTTACGCATCGGACGGAAAACAAAACATTCAAAACAATTGTGCTTTTATTGTCACTGCACAACTGAGCAATGACCGAGATGTTTCCAACATGTCCTTGGCTCTGTTCAATGTGCTGCTCTGGTCAATCATCTGGTCCATCAGGACCAAAATGAGACAAAATCCCAAATGGGACAAAATCCTAATTCAGTCTTAATTCAATTTCTGTACTAGGTATAAAGGAGTACTTCCTATGTCCCATGTTACTCGTCGATTTGAAAAACACACTTGTTCCATATTACTACTCCGGTCCAAAAAAGTTGTCACATGTGCCTTCTCATTGGCGGCATTATTCTGAATTGGACTCTTTTTGAATTCTGATTGGTGCATTAGAATGCACAAGATCTCTCCTTTAATTGGGTAGTTTT